GGTCAGTTCCGCCCTCATTTCTTTAAATATCCAGCAGCAGCGCCGTGGACCGTGACAGTGGAATTAAGAAGGGATGCGTTAACTTATATTCACGAACATATGTAAACAGCATTTAAGTTTAACTACGTTGTTTTTTCACGCTGCAGTCGCGTTTTATTCCTCTAACATGGAGCTGGACCGGCGACTGTTGCTGGCTCACTGCGCGGTTCACGCCCTTTCTATAGCGGCCGGTCTCCTGGTGGTCGTTCCCATGGCTCTCAACGGCTCTGCGTTTAAAGGCCGCTGCGCGTTATTTTCCAGCGGCTACTGGAGGACCGAGGACGGGATCAAGTTGACAGATGAGCCGGGAGACGCCTCCTCACAGCTCATGGTGCATCAGTGGGGCCCACTGGCCGCCTGCCAGTTCTCCACCTTCGTGGGTATTTTCACGGTGCTTTACGGTGCAGCTCAGGGCTGGAGGTGTCTCTTCTATCTGCACGGGCGACACGACGAGTGAGTTCCAAATAAGCCAATTACAACAACATTAGCACATTGGACACTAACTTAGGTAATACTAGAGTAGCACTCAAAACAATGGAGCGGGATCCATTTATTGGTCGTGGTAGAATTCTTTAAGGTCGACCATTTAATGGCCACTTTTCTGGGTCAGATCCCGAAATATACACCGTTAGATGGGTTAATGTGCACCACAGTATAGAAATATAAGATGAAGATGCATTTGAATCTACACCAAATTGTCTATAAATGCCTCGATCTTTTTTTAAGCATTGTCCAGTAAAGAATGCGTTAACAAACAACAGGTTAAACAGATACGCACATTTGCTTTACTTTAAAAACTAATGATATTAAAGCAGCACATAATTAGAGTAAAAGAGTAATTAATCGTGAAGAACAACATTCCGGGCAGATGTTAATACCCATTCCTGTGGTAAAAGTTACGAGAGACACAGAATTATACTATTTTAAAGCAGTGATGTTGTACCAGTGCAGTAATTGTATGTACCAGCACATTTACACTGCAGCAATAACACACCCGGCAAGCTGCTATTTCTGTATTTACACGAGCGAGACAAATGCGCAAATAGCTCCAAGACCATTCAAGAAATTTAAATAGCTATTTTCTTCTTTTTGAACCATGGTTATATAGCAGCCATAAATAGAAAACCTATTTTTTTTATATTTGATGTCAGTACTTTGTGTTCCTGCTCAGCACCCTGTTTTCGTCCTTCCTGACGGTGCTGTTGAGTGTGTGCATGCTCTTCCTGTCTGGGGGAGCCAGTGTCCTCTTGTCCCTCGGCCTGGCCTCATGGTGTGACACTGTAACTGATAACAACTCACGACCATACAGGTACAGTAAGTAGTCCTGTTCTAAACTGAGTTAGCTTCAATGCAATTCTTTATCAAAAAATAGTTTAGAGTGTTCTTTCTAATCCTAATGTGTATTTTCTTTGTTTAGCTGTGCAGAGTCTCAGTCTGTTTCATTTTTCCTGGACGTGGACACCTCATCATTCTACACAGAGCTCAGTTTGGCACAGGTGGGAAGGCTTAACCTTGAACAGAAAAAAATAAACCAAAATGTCATTAATTTTAGATCCCCGTCGTTATTTTCTTCATCAGAGTTTAGCAGTGTGTTTGTGTGTTCACACTCCTCTCTGCTCAGTGCTACTGTAACATCTTTAAATACTGATGACCAATTCTTTGTGGACTGGTAGAAGTTGATATAACAGCAAATAATGATAACAGGTCTTGTCAGAGACATAAACAGCAAATCTGGTCCCCATATATATATATAGTATCTGTGCAAGTATCTGTTACATAACATTTGGGGTTTGATTTCCTATCATTTTAAGTTTTTCAATTCTCAAAACGTAATTAGTTATAAATAAAGTAATTTATAAAAAAAATCAGCAAAGCAATACTGTCTGATTGACTTACTAAGATATAAGTAAATATTGTTGTACACTATAGACATTTTGCACAGCACTTAGTTGCTAAGACTAGACTGTATGGATAGAGAGGCAAATACGATGTCTCTTCATTATGTTTCAAAGCCTTTTCTTCTTTGTCAGTTAACTGTAAGACCTGTGTCCTCAGGCATCACTTTGGTTTGTGACAGCTCTGTGGTTCGTTCAGTCCCTTCTGGCCTTCCTGCGGCTCTACCACTCCCACAGCCAGCACATCAGCGGGCCGTGTCTTCCACGAGAGAAGGAGCTCCTTCTGGAGCACAGTCCTTCAGAGAGCAGCACACCAACACCTCCTCACCTTCCACCATCATCCACCATCTTGGTTTAAGTCAGAGGGACAGAGGTTGGTTATGTAAGGAAGAAGAGAATGATTTTCTCTGTTATCTAAGTTAAGTCACCATGGCTGCTCATGTCAACTCCCACATCTTATGCATGTAGTAAAGTACTGTTTTAAATGTGGAGCATTTCATTACGTTGTACGTAAGTAACTTTACGTATGGATGTGTCTTTATTTGTTTGTTTTTATTTAACAAGACGTGGGAAAACATCACAATTATTTTCAACTGTTGAGCAAAATGCTTTGTTAATTATTTTAAGACATCATTTGCTTTTGGCTAATGATTGAACAAATATGGAATGATGTTTAAACTTAAACGATATCAGCTAAATCTATTTGTTTAAAATTTCAGTTTGTTTATTAGTTGTTTGTTTGTTTGCATTGCTGTGTTTAGCTGGTTTAAGTGTAAAGTTGAGATGCTGCATTGAAGGGCTTTATTGTGAAGCATGTTAGCGTGTGACTGAGCCACCGTGTATGTGATATAGGCTCACTGTGTGAGCATGACCCCAATGTTCTGTTGCATAACAGAGAGAAAAACACTGCTGACTCCCTGCTCTTGTGATGATTTGTGTCATGATGCTGTTTGTGTGGACGCAGCTGCCCTTAGGCCGTTAATGAAGCAGTCAAATTATCTCCTTATGATCCATGCAGAGTGTGACGAGGTCATTGACGACGTAAACTTTCACACATCATAACAAGAGAATTTTCTTACTGTTGAAAAAGCCTATGTGGAGAAAAGGGAAGTAAAACACTTAGCTGTGTTATTATAGACTGAACTCTTTGACCACAGCGGTTGTAATGACACACAGATGGCAGAGCAACAAATCTGATGTACACAGAGATGAGACAGCAGTGTGGTGTGAAGGAAATTGTAATTTCCTGTATTTATCACTGAAAATGGTCTTTATATTTTTCCTCACTCATGTTTACCTTCATCTATATTTATGTTTTTACAATGTCAAATAATAAAATATTGGTTATGAAAAAATGTTGTTTTACCCATCCTAATGACTAAATGTTTCATAAATGATTTAAATATATATTTATTGAATGCCTGTGTTGCCTGGGTCTAATAATAAGACATTACTTTGTATTGGAATATTGTATTCCAATACAAAGAGCTTAAAAAGCAGGACGGAAATAAGAAGAGTTACACCATGTAACTCTATTTCTTTTTGTAACGCTCATGATCTGTTTATTCACAGAATTAGTGACGTCTTTCAACTCGTGGTGTACTACCACTTATTTCTGCTGGTGGCAGTAATGAGCCCTATTCATGTATGTTGCCACAATGATTAAACGAAAGAACGAGTACACAGCCAATCACAAAGTAGGGCACCATATTGAACTGTTTCCTTCACTCTGCTTAAAGGGTTGGTACAGTATTTTTTTTTTAGAAAAGATAAGTAAAGTGATGTTAATTTAGGATTCGTATAATTGTCATAAGTATAAGAAGATGGCTATGAAGCTGGCGGATGTAAAAAAGTTGAAGGTAGCGGAGCTGCGGTCCAAACTGAAAGAAGTTGGACTGGACAGTAAAGGACTGAAGACTGAGCTGGTGGACAGACTATGGTCAGCGGTACAGGACGGTCTGGAGGAGGAGGAAAACACAAGTCTACACACAAAACAACATGACAGCTCACCTATATCTGCAGCACTGACGGACACGGCAGAGGTGCGAGATCTGGCCGTAACAGACGTAGAAGTAAATGCTTCATGTGGCCTCAGAGAGTACAGAGACAGCGGCACACAGACTGAGAGCGACGCCGCTCAAAGTGCACCACAGCACGGCTCTGAGTGTTCGACGAAGCCGGTGAGGAGCTTCCAGTCTGCAGAGGAGACAGGAGGAGGCAGAGGGAGGGCTTTCTATGAATTTAAAGAGGAAATACGATATAAAAGGTGACGCAAGCCAAAGAGCATGTATATTCAATGAAAAACTTAAAGAGGTAAAAAAAAATCTCTATCGACCATCCTTTATATTGAGCTGAATCTACCCCAAGGAAAAATAACACAAGTTTTACAACAGGACATTTATATTCACCATGATAATTTTTTAAAAAGTATACAGTGTTTGCTTAATATAGATTTGAGATTAAAAAAAAAAAATTTAATACTCGATTGCTTTATTCGGGAATGACACGAACTACATCTTCAGGTCAGATCAGGGATTTTGGTTCAGGGAATCTGTCTTTTCTTAAACCAGAGCTAAATCACCACAGCCCCCAGAAGGCAGAGACCTCTCAGAGGAATGGGATGAAGATCAGGTCCATCTAAATCCGCGTAAGTCTCTGCAGCAATGCACAACTTTAGGAAACTAAAAATTCTGAACTGATTTAAAATTGTGAAGACACTCCCTTAGGTCTGTTCTATTTTAAATCATTCTTTCTGTTGACATCTCAGCTGACAGTCACCTCCACTTTGAGTTGAGCTCTGATGGGTGCTGCGGTAAGCCTCGGTTCTGGAACCAGTTCCCGTCTCTGTGGTCGGGATGTAGACTCAGCCACGGGGTGCTGCAGGGCAACGTGGGCTTTGAGGTGAGACTGGAGAGGAAATTATTGAATACACAGCCGGAGGAACAGGAGGACATGGAGACGTATGGAGTGAGAGTGGGCTGGTCAGTGGTTGAAGACTCTCTGCTGCTGGGTAAAGATGCCCCATCTCCTTTATAAAGTTGTTTTAGTCTTGTTTTGATTTCTGTAGTCTTCATGTTATGACAAATCTTTTGTGTTTTTTGCACCAGGTGAAGATGGACTTTCTTTTGCTTACGATGGACGTGGTATGAAAGTATCTGGTGGAAAAGAGGAAGAGTTTGGAGAAGTGCTCTCTGAGGGGGATATTATTGGTTGTTATGCTGTAAGTAATTTGTTGATATTATTCTGTAATTGATTAAGGTGAATTGAGCTTTGATTATTTTTAACTAAACAGGATCTTAGTTAAGCCTTTTCATGTCTGTGTGTTTTTGTATCAAGTCTTTCTCCAAAGATGGATCCGTTCAACTCTCCTTCCATAAGAACGGTCGTTTCATGGGCGTGGCCTTTTCTTTTAGCACCTCTCTGCTGGAGAGTCACCCTCTGTTCCCACACGTCCTGTGTAAAAGCTGTTCACTCAGAATCCTTCTGGACCCCAGTGCTCCACCCTGGTACCCCAGCCCTGCAGGTTTCACACCCATTGCAGCTCTTCCTGCTGCGCAGAGGCTACAATCTACACTTTC